AAGGTTAACTTCCATAACAGTCACCCTTGATAATAAAGGTTAACTTCCATAACATACAGACACCCCAGATTATGAAATTTAACTTCCATAACAGACAGACACCATTGGTTATAAAGGTTAACTTCCAAAACAGACAGACACCATTGGTTGTAAAGGTTAACTTCCATAACAGACAGTCACTCCAATTATAAAATTTAACTTCCATAATAGACAGTCACCCTTGATTATAAAGGTTAACTTCCATAACAGTCACCCTTGATTATAAAGGTTAACTTCCATAACAGTCACCCTTGATAATAAAGGTAACTTTCATAACATACAGTCACCCTTGATAATAAAGGTTAACTTCCATAACAGACAGTCACCCTTGATAATAAAGGTTAACTTCCATAACAGACAGTCACCCTTGATTATAAAGGTTAACTTCCATAACAGTCACCCTTGCCCTTGATTATAAAGGTTAACTTCCATAACAGTCACCCTTGATTATAAAGGTTAACTTCCATAACAGTCACCCTTGATAATAAAGGTAACTTTCATAACATACAGTCACCCTTGATAATAAAGGTTAACTTCCATAACAGACAGTCACCCTTGATAATAAAGGTTAACTTCCATAACAGACAGTCACCCTTGATTATAAAGGTTAACTTCCATAACAGTCACCCTTGCCCTTGATTATAAAGGTTAACTTCCATAACAGTCACCCTTGATAATAAAGGTAACTTTTATAACATACAGTCACCCTTGATAATAAAGGTTAACTTCCATAACAGACAGTCACCCTTGATAATAAAGGTTAACTTCCATAACAGACAGTCACCCTTGATTATAAAGGTTAACTTCCATAACAGTCACCCTTGCCCTTGATTATAAAGGTTAACTTCCATAACAGTCACCCTTGATAATAAAGGTAACTTCCATAATATACAGTCACCCTTGATAATAAAGGTAACTTCCATAACAGACACCCTTGATAATAAAGGTAACTTCCATAACATACAGTCATCGTCTGTGATAAAGATTTTCTTCTTTGAGCAAAATGCCTGAAAAATTATATATGACACACAGGAAACTGTATATGAAGCATTGTTGAGTGAGAAGTTGTCAGTTGTACATTTATGTTAAGTGCTAGGAAGCATTTTACAGATTGTCTAAAACAAATTGCATAAAGTTGGAAAAATTGCAAACTGTTTAAATATGTGAGATGGTTTTTCTAAAAGTCATGTGCTATATACAGAAATGATGGTCATTGTACAAAAACAATGACGTGTGAGAGCATGTTGGCGAAAAACTGAAAGCAATGTTAAGATGTTTGTTAAAAAATACAAAATTGTACAAGACAAACCCATGACATCACACTACCTTGTCAAATTTTGAGCTTGCATTTCTGGTATCACTTAGTAGATTGAATTTCATTGATCACAACTGTAAATCAGTATATATGTTCTGTATTTAAAGTATATGTATTGCCAGGACTTCAAAGCTTGTCAGTCACGCCAAATAGTTCCCAAGATATCAGGACTCAAGGCAAATACATCTCCCACTGCCAGATGACAAGAAAACTTGATATAGATTTTGTATCACATGGTAGTTGAATTGTAGACAAGAGACTGGCAGAGTTCTAAGGAATAAAATGGATCTGTCTTTAGTTCAGTATTGACCATAAATACAATGCTATGTACTTTGATGATAGAGCTTACACAAAGGAAAACCAAACACATAACTAGCTCTATCAAAAGTGTCAACTAGTCCTTTATTCTGTCTGTGATCAAGCTTTAGAAAACTTTGACCAGATTAATGCTTTTGTACCCAAGTCTACTCTCACAATTCAAAATCATTTGAAGCTGTTGGCAAAATACATCCTTCCCTCCTGTCTTCTACATCTAAACAGATTTTGAAACGAGCCTAAACGGTCATCCTACTAATTTAATTGAACATAGTATCAAACTCGTCCAAGATCTTAATTATATACATTGTGAGGTTTCATACCAAGTCAAAAACCTGTTCACATTCACTGAAATTAGTGTGTTCTCGTGATTCAATAGTAATAAAACTAACTGTAAAGGGTCATAGCTCTGTATGTTACAAATGAATCAATTCCATAGTCAAACTCCTCTGAAATCATCTTTCCATAAGGCAGCAAACCCATTTCATCAAAATATGCTCATATTTACTCCAATGATCATGTTCACAAGGTCCATCGCAATAAATTTGCAAAGGGCCACATCAGACATTTTGTCACACTCATCTGAGATCTTATTGACATAAGGCTGAATATCAAGTTTCATATTTCCTCGTGTCATGTTCACAAGGTCAATGACAATAAAAGGCAATTACTCTGTAAATTTTGATAGCAAAATCGGTAGCTCTTCATTCCAGCATGCTACAGGCCCTATATCAGCAACCTGGGCATTTTAGTTATGGAAAAGAAGTTGTTTGAAAATTTGAACACATTTGACCCTGTGATCTTGAAAATGGGTCAAGGTCACTCATTTTAACAAATGTGGTAGCCCTTCAACCAATCATCTTACAGGCCCAATATCAGCACCCAAGACCTTTGGGTTATTAAGAAAAGTTGTTTGAATGAAAAGTTCATACATGGCAGACGTCACATTATAGGGGTCAAATTACTTAAATATGTCACCTCACAAGATCAAGAGCTTAACTTGAAAGAATTTTTTACTCAAACTCACACTTGACAACTAACACCAACATTGCAAGTTAAATATCATCACTCTCAATATTCATGGTTTTAGTGATTTAGCTTTTTAATGGTTTTTATTTATTTTAATTATGACCATTACAGACATTGACCTAAAATTGTGATATGACCTTTAAAGATGTAAAGGTCAAATAGTTAAATCAACTTGATACTCAAACAAATCAATTGCAGTACAAATATCATGATGTTAAGCTAAGCCTCCTAATTACACAGAACAGTGCTGCAACATTTCAGTAAGAGATACATATGGCATTGTATTTACACTAGCACTTCCAAATTGTTTGAAGGGTATCGAGGCTTGCTAAAGCTGCTGAGTTTCACCTTAGAATTCTACATGCCATAACTGTTAAATCAAAGTCATTATATGCACAGTGATTAGAAGATTAATGTTATTTTAACATTTTCAAACATTAAACTCTTATGCATAATCTTTGAAATAGGTCTATGCTATTGATTTTTACAAACTTGTTATTAATTTACCTTAAGCACACTTTAATAAAACAGATATATTGACCATTGAAATCTTGGTTAATTCAGAGAAACAGTGTTTTAAAAGGTTTCATATACAGCATTTGACCTCAACACTAAAATTGTTATTCTCACTATAATATATATATTTTTTATCCGTGTATGCCACTAACTCAACACAAATGCAGGTTAAGATGTGAGATGCATCGTTCTATTCCTACCTAGGGCAGGTTTACTTATTGTATTTCTATGGAAAGGAGCATCACAGATTGTCCTGCGTTCTAAGGAAGACATTTTACTCCAGTTGTTTTAGATACATCATGTGGCATGCTTCTCACATTTTGTTCAATTAGATAGCCACCAGCTATTACAAGAACACCCTGCCACAAAATGACTATGGCTGTTCATGGGGTGATAAACTCCAAAATAAACATACTGGCCCAGTACAGGATTGAGGCACAGCATGGTTCTGAAGCATGATTTGTACTAATGAGTTCCTTAATTCCATTCTTCTTCAGCCAAAAGATCAAAGAAAATTGAGGTCATTTTTATCAATGACTATGTTTACAATGGTGAAGTGAATCTGCTTGGAGCTGAACCCAGGACCAATTGCTATGTCCTAGATAGAAATATTCTAATAGAAATTATTGTGTATAGTGGTTCAGGGCCATAAATGGAATGGTAAGGTAGCACTTGGCCCCAGTAGAATGGAGATCCTCCAAGGTAAAAAGACACAAATGTCTAGTCAGAAAGAAATGGACACAATTCATTGAAACAAGTATGAAGGAAGTCCTATTTTGCTGGTAGCAGTTTTACCCATTTCGTTTCTTTGTGTCTGGGTGTCTGAGTAGTCTGTATGTAGCTTCCTCACTGAACAACATGTAAGAGACATGGTATATAAAGCAATTAGGGTGAAGTGTCTTGACTAGGACATGATCACAACTTCGCTGAATGATCTGTAATCTCACCACACAATATGGCATATGGTGTGTTCAGATAGAATTGGCTTTGCAAATCCTGTTCACATTTTTTCTGTGGTCATGAGCTGTTGAAATGGTTTTATGAATGTTAAGACAAGATGACTTGCCCTTTCAGAACAAAATCTGTTTAGTTTTTCAGGGATAACAGCAGGATTGTGTTTGTTTTTCAAATATTTCCCAGATCCCTACATAAAACACCAAAGTAACTGACATCATTCTCATCAGATCAAACCATAACAATGGCTGGCTTAATTGTTCAGAAACTGGCCATGATTAGTAAAAATGACAGTTCAGGAATGGTTGATAACAAGGCTGTTATCAATAAATTTGATGGAAATAAGTACTAGTAGCTGTACATGTCCTGCTTGTCAATGTTGTATATGTACACAAAACATGTAGTTAATGTTTTCTTCATAACCTACTGAATGTTTTTCCCAACCAATTACATTGACTATAGTCTGCTGAGTTTTGAATATCTAAATTATGTATTTGATATTCTTGACTTTTTATTCGTCGTGCTAGTCTATAGAGACACACAGAAAAATATAATTGATAATACTTGAATATCATTATACTACCTACCGGTCTCTGGCAGCATATCTAGATATTCTACATGAATACGCAAATTTTTATATACATGACCAGACATCGCTGCAATCACGGTATGATACACGTACGTACATGTACATTACAATTTTAATGTAGGTCTTTATAAGTGCATATGCACACATGCAATTAATGGGAAGCGCCACGGGTTGACGTGGCTATCGTGACTTCGGTGTTCTACGTAAAACTCGGTGTATTTATCAGTATTTATCAACACTTACTGGGGTCCGTTTTTTCAGCGTAAAATTCTTCCACAACAGTAGACGAAACTGGTGAAAAAATCCCATACTGTCACGGTCATTGGCGAGATATGGAACCTGTCGAACAAAAGAAGAAAACAAGCATGATTTATAGGCATTTTATTTACGATTCACCATATTGTAGTCTATGTTACAGGGATCGCACATCTACATGCAAGGTCCCATGTACTTGGGCCAACTGATAAGAAAATTTCAAGCTAAATTGTCTATGACATCGACGTATATATTCTTAATTCAAGTCACATCGTCCTTTTTGAGCCCGCATACATGCTTTCTCTGACTGCTTCGTATGTCTACACCTCGATAAGGCCATTATTTACTTACAATTTATGCTCGCTTCATCCTCCGAGCACCATGATGAATATTTTACCACGTGATTAACTATAGAGTTATTGATTGGTAGTGACGTCATTTTTCAGCTAAAAATAGTCGACAAACAACGTGAGTTTGTTTACATCGGTCAGCTGACTGTCAGACACGAGCTCCTTTGTTCATTCCTGTATGTGAGCCTTCAACGTTGTGTATTACACAGCTATTTATAGTATTACACAGCAATGTTGCACTTTATGGCTCTTTATGTGGACCAGACAAAGGATTAACTACCACGCAAAGAATTATCATGATAAATACAAGAATTGATATATATGCTGGAGACAGTCTACAGTACATTGTTGTGTTTTTGTCGTACGCATATAGACACTATTTCTATATGTGAAAAGTATTGATTTTGTGTCATTAGATTGAACCAAAAATAGATTATGTACATGATTTTAAAATATTGTTTATACAAATGTCATTCAATCATCACCCACTCACTCCCCTCCCCACCCACCCCATACTTTTTTCCTCCATTTGATTTGGTGGGAAATAGTATATGGTGTCCATAGATCAGAAATGATTAAATAATCTTCCTCCTTCCTTCCTCCTCCTCCTTCCGTTTGATTTGGTGGTAAATAGTATATGATGTCCATCGATCGGAAATGATTAGATATCTTCCCCCTCCCTCAACTTCCTCCCATTTGATTTGGTGGAAATTAATACATGAGATCCATATAAAGGAATTTACTAACTAATCTGAGTAAGGCCATCTAACAATAAATAAAACCTTTTCATGAACATGTCATACAAATAAATAAATATGATTTGTCTATCATACTGCCATGCGTTGTATAATGTTTACACGTATTAACTGATTAATTTCCACAAAATACAGGAAATCGTCAAAATCATCAGTAACAAATTACCTGTGTACTCGTCTCCATCTTTGTGTGTCGTAAATACTCCTATCCTTGATTTACTTGTAAAGTGCAACTTCAAATTCCATTTTTTCTCCTTGTAAACATATGGATAAAATGTCCAAGTTCCCGTAGTTGTCATTCACAACACACAAACAAACATTTTTCTGTATCACTGGTTCGATACAGGTTCTTTGCTTGTGTTGTAGTATATCGAACTTAAAATTCAAGTTTAATCATCATCTGCAAGCCATGGTAACACAGTAAACTTTATCTCTTCTTTGTTGGGAGATCATTACTGTGGTGTAAAGACACAGTACTACATCCACACTGAATCAATGACCATGTGTAAAGTGCTCCATAGTATTAATCAAATCTGCATTATTATCTTATCGTCTTCATATAACTATTGCGAACAAACTCTCCACGTTTCCGTCTGTCCCGTCAGTGCGTGTGAACGCCAGCCACCGCAGCTATTGGCGGGTTTCTGTGTTGATGGCTTTTTTTCAGTCGGGGATGTAATACGACGTAATACACACGCATTTGTTTGGTCGACAGCCACACTCGTGTTGACGGCGATACACAGGGACATACTCAACCATGAAACTGAACAAGTCTAATCGTACAGAGTCCAGACTTCACATTTCACTCGTTTGTAGATTACAGATGACACGCTTTACGTTTGTGATAAATCAGCCGGTCACTGCTGATATATACACTAGTTCACTCAATGCTCATCGACCAATGTTAATTGAAAACAAATCTCAACACGAATAAACCCAAACTTTAAAGCGCTACTGCACGTGTAACAAAATGCAAACGAGTGAATGTGTACAAGATTTGTACACTGCACGTGTCGGGTGATCTTTGAATAATTAATTGGATCTCTGCCAAAATGTATACAGAACTCATTTTAAATGATATAAAACGGTAATTCTGTTAAATTGTTTCCCCCATTTAATAGTTTAAAATGATATCGTGTTTTTGACTCTTCCAAGTAGCAACCTGTACACGAGTCCCAGACAGGTGGCACACGAAGTTATCAGACCGTGATCATACTTTTTGTTATCAGCAAAACTAGACAAGTTTACCGAACGAGTCAACTGGAAACGCCACTTATTCTAGCTTCCGTTGACGAATATAACTGAACTACAACGTTATTTTTTGTAGTTTTATATTTGTCAAGACTTCGACAAGAAAATACCGAAACCCATATATATCCGAGGCAATATGTCAGCCAAAGTCAAATCCTTAAATATGAGGCCGACAAATTATCATTCAGCACTCGTAGGTGCTTGCTATTTTCCAGTTAACGAAATCTGTTCAGAAAATCTTTATACAAAATCTGATTTGGATTTTGGATTTCTCTCATTGCTTTTACATATTTTGATAAAAAAATAAATGAATATCAGAAAGTGATCAATACTGACTTGATTGTCCTTTTTCCGATGGCCTATGTCATTAATCTGTGTACTGAAGCAACTTAATGGGCTTAACAACATAAAATAAAATGATCATTGAACAAATAGTTGACACGTTTCATGAGCAGTTAAGTTTTCGATATCCACGATGCTCAACTCATTGGTAAACTTGATAGTTTTTGTTTGCGACAGAGAAATAGTCAACCATTAGATCAAGCATATTTTATTGTTTACTGGAGACAGGAACAGATACGGGTTAACAAATAAACAATTGATATGTAATACAACAATAAATATCAGCTTGACTCATTCTTGGCTAATATGCAAGTAAAAGCAAATAAATCGAAACAATTCAAATATTGTAAACTTGATCAAAATATGTTTCCCGAATGTTGAGAACGTATGCACGCAATTAAAGAATTCTATATTAAGTTCCACTGTACGTTGTGAATTTCCTAACAAGATGGTTTCTAGATTAAGTTATACGTTTAAGAACTGAACATTTTGTATTGGAATGTTTCTTTCATTTCTAAAATGGACGCATTCAAAAGAAGTAGGGAGATACATTCTCAACTCGGCAACAGTCTGCATTAAACGTTACTTCTAAAGAGATCATAATTAAGAGAGCTACACTGATGTCTGAAGTTTGTTTGCAGAACATTTAATTTTCGTTCTCCTAGTCCGTAATACATGGGAGGGGTAATATGCACGTCGGGTAATAAGGATTTCCTGAAGGTATTTATAGACGGTAGTGATTTCAATTAATTATCTAAAGTATTCCAGCAGTTAACAGTGGGTGGTATGAAAGAATGTTTGTAAGGAAGAGTCTTAATTGGGCATTTCTGTTGTTGCTGTTTCGGAGAGAATAAGGATTACTTTCATTAGCAGTAGGTGGTAAATTTTGATTCAGGAATTCACAAGTTTGTTTGTTATGCATCTTATAATTTTCCCCGTGTACGTCGGTCGGAGAGTGTTTGCAAGCGAAGCCATAATACAAAGCTTCATTATACACGTATAAACGAAGTCCCGATATAATTTGGACAGCCTTGTCTTGATGATCAGAACCAATATGCTGGTATAATCATCCCAAAATTCAGAAGTATATTGTAATCCTTGTAGAATGAATACTTTATAAATCATAAGTGGTGATTTACGGCTAAGCAATTATATCAATTTATTTCAATTTCCATAAAACATTAATCCTTTTCACTACCGAAGTATGAATTACATTAATCTGGTCTCCCCGATTAGCACAATAATTTAATATAACTCTTCAATGTTAAAATGTTTATGGAAAATTCGAACTCTTTCTTCACCCATCTATAAGTTCACAGCGTTAGAAATGTACACTACATTTGTTTTTATTTTATTTAAGTATCCGTGTACTAGTCCACGTATTTACCTTATCTAAATATATATTTAATATTACTTCAAGACAGGAAGATGATGAATATAATAGCGAGGTGTCCTCTGCAAAATGGCGAGAAGTAGATTCGAAAATTTCGCCAATATTGTTGATGAAATTTGACCATTGTGGAACCCCGGGTTCAATGACACTTACAAAAGAGTAACAACTGTTTTTAGATACCTTTTTACGTCAATGAAAAATTCTAACGAAATATGTATTTTGCCTGATATACCCTACTATTTTAACTTTATTAACAAATCTTTATGCCAAACTTAAAGGCTTCAGATATATCGCAAAGAACTAAACATGAATGCTGTACTCCTCAAATGCTGAGCATATTTGGTTGTAAATAGCAATTACGTGTAGTTGATCAACAGTAGAAAGACCATATATGAAACCTAATACTTATAGAACAACAAATTTTCAATCAAATAATCGTACAAATACCTATAAACCACTCTTTCAAGGACTTTCTCAAGTGGAATTAGTCTGTAATTAATTGGAGAATGTCCATGATGTCATTTAAACAAAAGCATAACATGGGCTAGTTCCCATATATCGGAGTAAAACCCTGTCGTAATAACATATTAAAAAGTATTTTAAGAGCTATACAGTAGGTTTTTTACATGAAGTTCCAGATGAAGTGATCAGGCGTCTGATAAGTCTGTAATATGACAGGACCAGAAGAATTGATCAGGCGTCTGATAAGTCTGCAAAATGACTGAGGTCCAGAAGAATTGATCAGGCGTCTGATAAGTCTGTAATATGACAGGACCAGAAGAATTGATTAGTCTTCTGATAAGTCTGCAAAATGACTGAGGTCCAGAAGAATTGATCAGGCTTCTGATATGTCTGCAAAATGACTGAGGTCCAGAAGAATTGATACGTCTTCTGATAAGTCTGCAAAATGACTGAGGTCCAGAAGAATTGATCAGGCTTCTGATATGTCTGCAAAATGACTGA